AATTTATATTATCATTGGTGTGGTCATCAATAACTGATCTTATACAAATCTCATCACTGGTTATGTTTTGCAGGGATGGCAGCGGAAACTTGATCCCAGGTACAATGTGATGCAAACACTGCTTCTCAAAGCTGACTGAGGGGCTAATGGCTCCGTAAGAAGGTCTTGTCAGTGGTAATGCTATGATTACTAAACAATTTTGACAGTTATAAAATCCAAAATATACCAATCCCAAGAAGTGGACATGAACATTTAGATCTTTGGTTATTTATTTATTTTTGTTTTTGAAATTTCCATATGTTTTGAAGGTTCAATCATTCTGTATTTAGTTTGTTTTTATAAATAAATAAATAAAAAAGAAGAAAACATTACTGTTTTTGAAGCCTCACAATTCACATGTAAAAACAGTAGAGAGGTAAAAGACAGAAATAAAGTGGAATTCTGTTCTTTTTTTGGTAACCTTGATGTTCCTGAATCTTCCAGTTTTCCTCTATTCTAGATCTGTTCATTTGTTCTAGATGCTTGCAAAGATAGGGTATATTTGTTTTGTTTTGTTTTATATTTTCTTGTATTTGTTGTTAGGCTATGTTCCTGCGTAAGTAATATGTTGGCCCCTTTTGCATCTTTTGGGTCTTGGAAAAATGTCAGTGATATGGCTGCTTATCTTTAGGTTTTCTTGGGATGTAACAGGATCTATGGAGATTTAAATTTTCCTGATAACTTAATGTTTTTTTTTTGTTCTGTAACTTGTTTCAAATTTTTTTCCACTTATGTTGTTTCAGATTTCCTGAAGGCTTGCTTTCCAGTGAGCAAGGTGTCTACATTGCAGAGTCTGTTGCTGCTAAGAACATGAAACAAGCGAAGGGCCGTTTTCGGATGTATGAGGATGCCATGGTACCAATCAGTTTCTCTTTTATTCATTTGGACCAATTGTTTTAGAAAATTATTCTTCAATTTTTTTTGGCTGTTGCATTTGTTTTTGTTCCCAAGACCATGGTGGTTCTAATCATTCTGCAAAAAATCTCTCTTTGTTTTTTACTTTATGAATTTATTAGTAGCATGCATTACAATCATTTTGATAAAGGAAGGACTGCAAAGGAGGAGGCACGTGAGTTACAACTTAGGGAGGAGGCATCCATACGTGAGAGGGTCCGAGAAATACAGAAAAATCTATCTTCCATACTTAAAAGCACTTGGGGAAATGTCCATTGCTAATCCTATTTTCGCACAGAGTCAGCTTCCTTCCCTGATATGTTCTAAGAGCCTGAACTTGTGGAATGTTTGTTATTTGTCTTTAACTAGTTTATTAAGATATATGTGCTGAATGTCTTTCTCCAGATTGTTATCTCTTCCATCCATTTTTCTTAGATGGATCTTGATTTTTCTTATTTACTAATTATTCACTAAGGAAATAATAATTAAAACATAATTACTAATGAAAGTAAATAAATAAGGCTAAGATATTATTTAATTACTAAAGAGAAAATTTAAAATAAAAATTTATTCACCTAAAGATACTAAGTTTATATTTATTTATTTTTTAAAAACTATACTGATGAAATATCGTCGGCACATCCTGGCGAAAATTTGCCGGATTAGACCTTTCCCGACGACATTACGTCGGTAGAGGTAACTTTTGTCGGGGGAAGTCTAAATTGGCAAATATTTGCCGGCATATACTTGTGCCGATGAGAACTTTTTATCTTTATTGTTATATTATTATATTTAAAGAGTATAGCCGACCGGCTATACTGGTTAAATAGAATATTTTAACAGTATAGCCGGGCGGCTGTAATTTTTAAATATAATATTCAACCGTATAGCCGGCGGCTATACTCGTTAAATAGAATATTATAATAGTATAGCCGATCGGCGATACTCTATAAATAGAATATTTAAACGTATAGCTGCGCGGCTATACGCTATAAATAGAAACTTTTAGCAGTACATATGTTCATAGTATAGCCGCGCGGCTATACTCTATAAATAGAAACTTTTAGCATTACATACGTTCACAGTATAGCCGCCCGGCTATACCCTACAAATAGAATATTTATAGCCGCACGGCGATACGCTATAAATAGAAACTTTTAGAATATGTTCACAGTATAGCCGCACGCTATCCTCTATAAATTTTCACGGTATATTCGTTTTGTTTTTCTGCTTTTGTCTGTTGACCATTTATTCTTTACTCCTTTCTCTTCTCTTTATAAATTTAATTTAATTGTCTCAGAAAAACGAATGTGATAGTTTTTTGTACTATAATCTGAGTAGCCGAACTGATATCTTTTACAAATCTGAGAGGCAATTTGCTCCAATTTTATATTATCGTTGGTGTGGTCATGAATAACTGATTTTATACAAATCTCACAAACAGCATTCGGTGGAAAGAGGAGAATTATATCCCTTGCTTCATTACATCACATGTACTGTCCTTGCTTCAGCATAGTCATGCTCTCACACAACTAATGTACTTTTTTCAAAAAAATTAAAAATCTGGCAATTTTTACCGAGAAAGAGGGAGCTGAAGACAATGCTCTTTGAGCCTGACAAGCGAAGAGATTCAAGTTCACGCAGAAGAATATTAACTTTGGATGATTCCACCCAGTTTTTCTCAAC